TAAGAAAATAGAAGAGAGAAAAAGGATGTAACTTACAGAAGATATATTCACTAAAAAACATATGCCAAAATACATATACTAGAAAGTATAGGATACGCCTTCAGAATGTCAAAACATAGGTGTTTTACATTGATACAAACTATATTGCCTAAATGATAATATTAACTTGAAAAACAAATATTACATACATAAATCTTTGCCTGGTTAATTATACCCTGCCCTCTGTAGGCTTTGGGCTCCAGATTCCTATATCCAACTACCAATTCCACTTCTTTACCTGAATGCCTAGTGAACATACTAAACTTAACAAGTCCAAAAGAAATTTAATTTTAATTCTTTAAATCTCAGTTTAACTTACCTGACAATGGCTCACAGTTTACCCATCTCAACCAAAAACCTGAGACTCATCATTGATTCTATTACTTCACCGCCTAACCCTGTTAGTCTTGAAAATCTAACCCTGTTAGTTAAAAGTCTTGTTATCCTTCCTTCAAATAGATTCCAAATCAGTATAGTTTCTTTTTTTCAGTTTGCCTTCATCTTTTCCCAAATGCTCTACTGGAAATGATATCCAAATTTCTCCTCCATGGTACATATTGAGCCCTACAAGATCTGGTCTGTGAGTGGCCTAGCCACCCTTTCCTTCTCTAAATATTCAGTCTGTGTTCTCCGTGGGCTTCTTCATTTTCATTTTGTTCTGTTGTGACTGTAATCCCCCAGCTTCTTCATGGTTGGATCACACTTGCCATACCAATTCCTTGGCTCATTGGTCACCATTTCAGAGAAGCCCTCCCTGACCCTTCAACCTAATTAGTAATGCCACACCCTCACCACCCACCATCTCCTCCTCCTTACCCTCTTTGTTTCTTCAAAACACTTGCCATTGTCACTTTCCTTCATGTATCGGCTGCTGTATGTTCTCCCTTCCCAAACTAGAGCATGAGTACCATGAGAAAAGATGACTTGTCTTATGTGCCCCTGTATACCAAAACCTGCAATATTACTCGAATGACCGAATGAGTGACAGGTAAGATTCTATTCCTAGATATTGCTAACTCTTGGCAGTTTCAGGCAGAGTGTATTTAAAGAAGATGAAGTGTGCAGGAATCCCACAGAGGATCACTGATGTATAGCATGCCACCATATTCCTCACCAACCAATATGAAATGCAGCACTAATGCTAAGAAAACAAAGAACCTGATCCAATCAGAGAGTGTATGATGCTGCTTCAGTAATGCAGAAGACTTGAAAGACTGAAACGTGGGGAGAGCTGTTTTCCTATTCTTCAGGGAAGAGAATAATTACTCCACTTCTCCGTGACTAAGAAGAGTCAGTACCGTGGCTTTTTAAAAAAGGGTAGTGCTGCTGCCAGAAGTTTGAGGCACATCCAATGTTTATGCCAAAGGAACTTTTGTAACTGGACTTTAGAAAAAGAGAAAAAAGACAGGGTTGGTTTGGGGGGGTGGGGGTGGATAAAAGCTATCAGCCAGGGAAGGCCAACTCTAGGGTGTTTTTATTCAACTGTGTACAACCACATACAGCTTTGGGCAAAGCTCTATTTATTTCCGTCCTTCTTCCTTAATTTGCCTCAGGTCATTGCTTAAAGATCGTTTCCAAACTCTCTCTTTTCTTCCAAGAACCTCAGTTAAGACTTAAAATATGATGTCATTAACTAAGAGCAATCAGGAATTCTGTTTTAAGCACTCAGACCATGAATTCTGCCTGCAGGTAAACCTCCTTTGGAATATATTACTTATCTTTGAATGGAGAACAAATCTGGATGTATTTAGAGAATATGTGGTTTGCTTTTTTTTTTTTTTTTTTAGTTAAGGATTTATATTAAACAAATGTCTATGGTGCCTCAAACCAGGGTGTAGGACACATCCACTTCTAATTCTCTGAAGGTGTGGACCTGGTTACCTGCTTACTCTTGGCTTTGCCTGGAGCCCCTGATGTGCCACAGAGCAGATGTGGCCCCTGCCTGTAGGAGTTCACTGAAAGCAATAAATATTGGACCGAAAAAAAAAAAAAACAAAAACAAGACCTCCTTGAAGGGGTCAGATGTCTTACCAGAATGGCTTTCTTCTTTCCCTAATCTTTAATGCCAAGAACTGCTTGTTCTTGTTCTGTGTGAAATCAACAAAAGGGATTAAGTAATACAATGAATCGCTGCTCAAAAAAAAAATGATCACTTTTTCCTTTGAGCAGAGCTATTTTTTACTTCCCCTTTCTCCTCCTCCACTTGTCTTCAGGCAAATGCTGCCAGATTATGTCAAAAACACTATCTTTTCTTCAAAGAACTTTACTTAAGAGTGAAAATATTTCATTAACTAAAAGAAAAATCAGGTATTCTACTTTCAATTCTCAGTTCTCTCATATTCTCTGTGGCTATAGCATTTTCCCCAAATTAATTCATTCCCAATTCAGAGAGGTGAAAATGTTCTTTTTATAAAAAAATTCTAACAAAATGCTTTGAAAAAAGATTTGTAGTGAACATGACAAACTATGAATAAATATCTTTATTATAGGAAATGATGGCTCAAACAGATAAAATATTATGTGTACAGGCATAAATGAGTAAAAGACTCAGAAAAGACATTTTAAAGAGAACTACTGATAATTTTCTAATTATTCAACCTTGCTAGTAATCTGAACAAAGAAGTTAAAAATATATTTGTTTCTATCCATAAAGTCATAAATGAAATTAAGTGTTCCCCCATTACCAAAAATGGAAGAAAAAAAAAAAAACAAGAAAAAAAAACCCCAAGACATTCCTTGTTCAAACAAAATATTATTAAGAAGCCCTAAGGATGCCTGGGTGGCTCATTTGGTTAAGCATCTGCTTTCTGGTCAGGTCATGATACTGGAGTCCTGGTATCTAGTCCTGCATTGGGTTGCCTGCCCAGCAGGGAGTCTGCTTCTCCCTCTGACCTTCTTCCTTCTCATGCTTTCTCTCTCTCTCATTCTCACTCTGTCAAGTAAATAAAAATCTTTAAAAAGAAAAAAAAAAAAGAAGAAGCCCTAGCAAACTGGGTTTCATCCAACATATTTGAAAGACTGTGAAGATTGCCCTATTTTTCCCTATTCACTATCCTTCAGTGACTTTTGAGGAACTCTGAAGGGGGTTCTAGTTCTCCATGAAGCATAACTGGGAAACCACTATTTTTAATATCACGCAGTCCTGATAAAGAGACCATACGCACAATAAGTATACTCTCACAACATCATTGAGATTCTAAATCATGTTAACCACTTTGAATTGTAATTTGGAAATATGCCCTAAAAGTCGCCAAAATACCCATGTCCTTTGACTGCCTTCACTTCTGAGCCCTTCTACTGGGTACATTGCATAAAGACACTAATTGCAGCATCATTTAACAGAGTAAAACATTAGAAAAAAAAATACATGTGTTCCACTATTCAGTACACACTTACTGAGCAAATAACCCTGACAAAGCTAATGTTGCTATTGAAGGATGAGGAGAAAAAGGAATGGTTAGTGGTGTAGTTAGAAAGTCTGTGAAGAAGTTCATTATGTGGTGCCCAATTTGTCCTTTACTAAAGGAGGCTTCTATCTCCATGGAGGACATTAATTCCCCAAATTATCCTCATCCAGACATCACATCACCAAAAAACACAATGAGAACTAGAAGATATACCAGGTTGTGGAATTATAATTAATTATTCCACTAGGATTCTTAAGATAAGACCACAACTTTGACATGGGCCTAGTCTCCCTAAAGAAAAAGAAGGCCAAAAAGTCTAAAACATTTCTCTGGGACTCCCTGTCTTAGAGATGGATCTAGGGAACGTATAGCTATTTGAAGCACTCCTGACTGAGAAAAGAACAAGGATGGCTTCTGGGCACAAAGGGAATGTGGGTCAGGAGCTAGAGGAGATCTCTACATGGTAAAAGTCAAGCTTAAAGTGAATAAAAGCATTTTGTAAATAAAACTATCCAGTTTCACATTCTTCTTGTGTTTTCCTTCCCTGTGTAATCCCATCTCTTCAACACAGTCTAATTTAAATGCTTCCAGCCTAGTCTCAGCTGTGCTGAGGGTAAAGGAAGAATTACAAGTCCATATTTTAGCCAGAGAAGACAGAGAAGACATCCCAGTCCACCATCCATGCCTTAGGCTGGCATGATGATGGCAAAGGTGATGCATGAGGAATGAGGAAGGGGGTTTATCAAAGGCCAAAGACAGGCCATCAGCTTCTGCTGCCTGCCCCTCACAGGGAGGCATTCCCAATCACCATTATTCATGGGGTGGTGTGGATTTGATGACAGAAGGTCACTTCTTTGTAGCCTCAAGAATGTTTTAAGAAATCAGGTAAAACATAAGCATCTCAAAACACAAACAAGACCAGGAAAAGAATTTCTGAAGGCAAAAACGCAAACAGATGAATAAAGACTAACCCTAGGCTCTTGCAACTCTCTCTGCTTGTCTATTTTCAGAAAGGGCCAATTTATCAGTTGTTTGTGGGAATGACCGTTTCAGGTGGGGAGACAAGAACACATGAATGCAAAATTTCTTTTTAACTTAAAATCAAAACCAAACAGACTAATGTAATCACTTATTCAAAAGAAAAGAAATAACAAACATGTATAGTCAATATCATTAGTTTTGTTTTTTTTAGAGAACAGCATTTTGAAAGATGATCTAATTCAGCCTTGCAGTAACCACTTTCTGTGTACAGAGTAGGCATTTAATTTCATAATCGGATGTGTGCTACATTTGCAGAAATTTTAATCAGTCTCAACATAAAGTGGACTGGATTGCAAGTCTCTCCTATCCTGTCATAATGTAAAGCACTTCAGTACAATCACGCAGAGCTCTCCTTTTATTTCCTCTGACTTGCATCTCTGTAAGTCAGTCAAACTATGTTCTGGAAGGTCTCCACCTTTGTGTACACACACACACACACACACAAATTTTTTTTCTCTCCATACTTTTTTCTTTCTGAAATTATTTTTCCTTTCTGAAAATGATTCCTCTTACCTTAGGTTGTTTGCAAAGATAGCGACAAAGTTCTCCAATATATAGAAACACAGTCACATTATACTTTCTGCAGTCATTCCAAAATTGACTTGCTGAGAATTTCTTCTTCAACACACAAGTAGCTCCTATGAGAAAAGTCAAAGAACAGGCACTGGGGGAAAATATTCAAGGGCAGAAGTGACATAAAACAGAAATGATGTTGCCTCATCTATACATGTACATTCAATTTCATGGCTTTTGTAATCCATCAGTGGCCATTTAATCAAGCTCATTTCAAACCATTAATCTTACAATCCAATAAACTTAAAAAAATACACGTTATAATTCTACATTTTGACTGCAAATGTATTTTTTTTTTCTTTTTGAAATACAGGGGATGAAAGATAAGGTCAAAATAAGGAGGGAAGTTGAAAGTATTAGAGCATGACTATAGATAATGGTCAGTCTTCTTCACAGAGTCCAAGAATATTCACTTACTTTGTTTTTGAATATGTACACTTATTTTTAAAACCTTAAAGCTGCCTCAATATTTCTTGATGTGGAGAGTTGGTAAGAAAGAATTGGTAAGATAGCACCAGTCATGTTCATTGATGACTACAGAACCTAAATGTAACAACCTAAATTTCACAAGAATGTAAGTCATATGAATATGTTCCCAGGAAAATGCTAATGTCTTGACTCTTGCCTTTGTTTATTTTGGACACTGGTCATGTTTTACATATCCATAAAATTACTTTTTTATATTTCAGACATATACAGGTAGTAGTGAATGGTCTCCATTATATATTATTTAGTGGCCAGACAAATAATCTCAGCATGTTTATGAACAGAATCTACTGAGTCATGAGCTACCAACAGACTTACTGGGTTCCTGGGGTACCTTGTTTGCAAAGGTAGCCTCAACAATTCCTGTTATGCAATGTGGATTTGCCACCTCTCTATTTCAAGGGGTAGGATCTGTTTCCTCAACCTTCATATCTTGACTCTAGACTGGTTTGTTACTTGCTCTGATTAACAATATGCAGGTGAAATGATCAATGTGATTTCTGAGGTTAAGCCTTAAGAGCTACACAGTTTCTACATTCACCCTCTTGGAAGCCTCCTTCCACCATTTAAGGAGGTGGGGAGTAGATAGATCATCAAAGGATGAGTGACCACATAGAGAAGGAAGACTGGTCAACAGCCAGCTCCAACCACACAGCCAAATGTCTAAGGCATTGCTCTCTTCAGTTCAGGAATAGACTAAGTATATCACAAAATTGGGTCCTTTTAATAAAAATTATGTTGTAACTATATAATAAGCCCACAGTTACTCTGAATTCTCTGACAGAGTTTCAAAATTTAATGAACACAAGTTAATAAGCATTTTGAATACTCATCAAACAGAAAATGAAAACTTACCCAACTCAACACATCCACCAATTCCCAGAAGAGATCCTGAACTATGATACAGAGGAAGAGTTATATAAATGATGTCATTAGCAGTAGAACCGAAACCCCACAAGCCAGCAGAACCCTTTAAAGACTGCAGCTGACTGATTACAGCTGCTTTTGGTAGACCTGGAAAAAAAGAAAAGAGATATATATAATAGAAAGCAAGTTTACATATTACAAGTGCTTTGTAGGGACCAAGCAAATGTGAGCTGTTGCTGTAATTATTTCTAGAATCTTGGATCTACCCAAAAGATTAAAATTAAAATTATATAGTTTGTGATACCATAAGCTTCAAAGAAGAGTCATATCTGTTTTAAGAATGACAAAAATGCCCCAAATCTGAAAATGTACACCCAAAATGAGGCAACTCATGACATTAATCTAAATTATACTTAAAGTAGACATTTTCTAGTGAAAAATTTTAAAATTCTATCTCAAGAACCATGACAAATTCTGTCATGTTTCATATCAAATTCCATGTTAAATGATGTTGAAATAGTTCTACACATTCATGATCCAAACATAAATCATCTGCTTTTTTCTTTCTAGTCTTCTTCTATGTACCATGGGAGTCTTATAAAAATATATAGCTATAATTAGTGTATAAAACATTTTACATACTGTTTTTAATTTTCCATATTGTTATAGTCTTTTGTAGTATAACATCAGCACAATAAATCCATCCAGTTAATACATGATATAATATGAAAGTGCCTTATCCTGATTGAATATCACCAATTTCGTGTTTCAACCTATATCTCCTTGTATACACAACACACAACTTGTTTTCATAATGGTAAGTACCCTCTCTTGAATTCATTTGTTAGATTAAATGGTATTTTAGTTCTATTCTCTTTGTCAGTTCAAAGAGTTCTAGTATCTGTGGAATGTCCTCAGGCAGAGGACCCCATACCAAATCTACCTTACTGATAAAGTTACTTTGCTTCACAACATGCAATGGTGACAAGGAGTATCATCCATTGTTCCAGACAGGCAAGCAGAGACCAATGTCAGAGAAGGCACAGGAATAAGCAAGTGGCAGGATCAAAAGTGAGGACCAGCAGCCCTAAGTGTGGCCTTTCTCTCTAACCCCCTACCGGAACAGTCCCACTTACCATTTGCCAAGGGTGGGTTACTAATGTCAGTGGCTCTGCACACTTACTGCTGCACCTGACTGGATTCTATTTCCCAATTCTAGAAAATGAGACCCAAATTTCACAATGTATTTCCTAAATTGAAGTACTTCCTTGGTATTTTCAGTTTGTCTTAGAGTCCTACAGCAAAATATACTCCCACAGTGATGTTGGCTGCAAGGCTGTATGAGTCATTCCTTTTTTTCTCTCCCTTCTAATATACAACTAATGGGACCTGTATAACTACCTCCTTTCCAAAAGTGCCTCTGTACAACATACAAAGACACCCAGAGATCCATCCACCCGTGGATGTGAATGTGGGTGAACTGGACCCCAGAGGAGGTGGCAGATTAGGGGAGGTGGTGCTACAGCCATGACCTTTCTGGCAGAAAAGGTCAAGGGTGAAGGCAGTGAGTGGGTGAGTGGTGAATTTGCCTGGCCCTGTGGGCTGCTGCGTCTAGGACCAATTGCTCTCTCTGAGAAGAGACCACAGTGACTAAGGGGAGGGAAGGGGAAGTGAAATAGGCAGACAAAGAGAGGTGAAGGAAAGTGATTCCTACTCTCTACCCCAGGACTCAAGAGAACCAACCATAGACCTTTGGGACCTCCCCCTCCACTTGCACTTGATGATTCCCCCTACCAAGGCAGAGGCACGCCCAAAGCCCAAGTGCTAAGTACATACTTAGCCCTCCCACCTCAACCACCGCTTGGCCTTTTTGTGTGTGTTTTGAGCAGCAGTAGAGAAATCAAGAATTGGTACGATAGCGCCACCTTCTGAAAAACAGAAGGAGGGCTCCGAACTACCAACGTGTTCAACTGTTGGTATCACAGTAAACAAAACCTTGCCTGGGGACACCTGGCTGGCTTAGCTAGTGGAGCCTGAGACTCTGAATCTTCAGGTTGGGACTAAGAGTCTCAGACTGGGTGTAGAGATTACTTAAAAATAAAATCTTTTAAAAAAATAACCCCCCAAAACCGGGATGCCTGGTTGGTTCAGTTGGTTAAGCATCTGCCTTGGACACGGTCCTGATCGCAGATCTGGGATCTAGTCCCTCATCACGCTCCATCCTTGGGGAGGAGTCTTCTTCTCCCTCTGCCGGCTGCTCCCCTTGCTTGTACTCTTACTTTCTCTCTCTCTCTCTCTCTCTCTCTCTCTCTGATAAATAAATAAAATCTTAAAAACAAAAACAAAAAACCTTGCCTAAAGAAGAAAGGTATTTCCTGCTTCAAATATGGTGGCAGAGGCACTTTTCATCAAACATCATGAAAAATCACGGTAACAGAGTATAACAGAAAATGACAATTTTTCCATGAACCAAACCAAAGATATGGAATACTGCAATCTAACTGACAACAGAATTTAAAATAGTTATTATGAAGATATTCAATGAGCTACAAGAAAACTCAGAAAGACAATATGATGATCTCAGAGCTACAATTAATGAGCAGGAGTACTTTACCAAAGAGACTGAAATTGTGAAAAAGAACCAAACAAATTCTCAAACTGAAGAACTCAAGAAATGTTATGAAAAAATGTATTAGGCAAGCAGTGGAAATAGACCAGATTATATGGAAGACAGAATGAGTAAGATGGAACAGAGAAATACAGAAGTGATTCAAGTATATGAGGAGAGAAAACTAAGATTTTTAACAACTGAAGAAAAACCTATGAGAATTATCTGATTCTATGAGAAAAGCCCATATAAGAATAATGGGTAGCCCAGAAAGATGAGAGGGAGAAGAGGGCAGAAGGACTATTTATTTATTTATTTATTTATTTTAAAGATTTTATTTATTTATTTGACAGAGATCACAAGCAGGCAGAGAGGCAGGCAGAGAGAGAGAGGAGGAAGCAGGCTCCCCGCTGAGCAGAGAGCCCCGATGAAGGGCTCGATCCCAGGACCCTGGGATCATGACCCGAATCGAAAGCAGAGGCTTTAACCCACTGAGCCATCCAGGTGCCCCCAAAGGGACTATTTAAAGAACTAATAGCTGAGAACATCCTTTACCTGGGGAAGGAATATACAAGTCCATGAAGCTAATAGCACGCCTTACTATTTGAATGCACAAAGACTTTTCCTAAACCACATTATATTAAAACTGTCAAAAATCGATGATAATGAAAGACTTTTAATGGAAGCCAAGGGAAAAAAGACAGTAGCCTGCAATGGCACCCCCATTACACTATCAGCAAATTTCTCCGCAGAAACTCTACAGGGAAGGAGAGAATGGAATGACATATTCAGAATATTGGAAGATAAAAACTGCCAGTCATGAATAATCTGGCTGGCAAAGTTATACTTCAGATATGAAGCAGAAATAAAGGCTTTCCCAAACAAACAAAAATTGAGGGAGTTCACCACCATGAGACCTGACTTACGTAAAATGTTGAAAAGAGCTTTTTGAACTGAAACAAAAGGGCAAAAGTACACAGAATTCTGATTAAGTTGATAAGCAGTCAGAATTGGAATACTGTAACTCTTTTATAGAATAGTATAAGAAACTCTTAACTATAACAGAGGATAAAGGAAAATTGTCTTAAAAATAACTACCTACTATAACTTGGTAATAAAATCACAGCATATATAGAGATAACTTATGATGTGAAAAATATAAGAGAGTATAAAGATGGAACATTTTAGATGGATGAAGATTAACTGCTTCAGCAGACAAAGAATTATTTTATCTAGGAGATGTTTTATGTAATGCTTGGTAACCACAAAGCAAAAATCTAGAGCAGGGACATCATACATAAAAAAGAGCAAAACTGAGCAAATCAACATGCAAAACCACCAACTTACAAAAGTAGACATAAACATAAAAGGAAAGAAAAAGAAACAAAAGAGACACAAAATAACCAAAAGGTAAAAGATAAATGACACCAGTAAATCCTTGCATTATCAATAATGTAAATGGTTTGTACTCACCAGTCAAAAACCACAGAGTGGCTGCATGGATTTAAAATTTAAAAGGCCCAATTATATGCTGCCTACAGGGGAATCATTTCAGCTCTGAAGACACTAATAAGTTCCTAATGAAAGGATACAAGTTGATATTCCAAACAAATGGAAATGAAAAGAAGGCAGGCATAGCCATTTATCTCACAAAATAGACTTCAAGCCAAGAGAAAGAAGGTCATTATAAAATGAATAAATATAAATATATTTATATTTATAAATAAATATAAATGAAAATCATTATAAAATGATAAGGGGTCAGTACCTCAAGAAAATACAGTGATCATAAATAGATAATGTTCTTAACACCTGAGCACAGATGTTAAATGTATTAAGCAATTTAACAATGTATTTAACAGGTGTTACATGTATTAAGCAATTAATAACAGATCTTAAGGAAGAAATACATGACAGTACAATAATTGTACGGTACTTCGCACTTGACCTTAGTCAAAAAGCTGATAAGCTCTTGTAGGGAACCTCAGTACCCCACCATCAACAATGGGTAGATCATTCAGTAAGAAAATCAACAAGGAAACACTGGAATTGAACATTTTAGAAAAAATGGACCTAATACACATGTACAGGACAGTCCATCCAACAGTAGCAGATTACACATTCTTCTCAAATGCACATGGAAAAATCTCCAGGGTAGATCATGCCGTAAGTCACAAAACAGATCTTAGCAAATTTAGGAAGACTGAAATCATATCAACTATCTTCTCTGAACACAATGGTATAATACTGGAAATCAGCAACAAGAGGAAAGTAAGATCGATCTGCAAATTGTGGAAGCTAAATAACACACTTCTAAGCAGCCATTTGGTCAAAGAAGAAATCAAAAGGGAAATGAAAAATTATGTCAAAACAAAAGAAACTGAAAACACAACATACCAAATATTGTGTAATACAGCAACAGCAGTTCTGAGAGGAAAGTTTATAGCTGCAAATGCCTACATTAAGAAGTTAGAAAGATCCCAAACAACCTAACTTTGCACCTTAAGGAAATAGAAAAAGAAGAAAAAGTTAAGCTCAA